GTGGCTGCCCTTGGGGATCTGCTGCACTCAGGGCACCCTGAGCGCTGGGAATTCTGGCTTCCGAGGCTGAGCGTGTGGCCTGGTCTGAGCCGAGGGCTGCAGAGCCGGAGCTGGGGGGACCCTGGCCCAGAAATAGGCCAGCGCTTGTCAGGCAGCGCTTGGCAAGCCCTCTGTCATGATGTGAGCCCGGGCGTCCACACTGTTCCCTTTAGCTGTGACTGTCTCGGTCCGGCTCCTCAGCTAATGAGCCCCTTGCATGGAGAGTGGGTGGGTCCGGCACAGCGGGGGCACAGCCATTTCCCAGAGGGTGGACTCCCCCAGGACACCCCTTTTGTGTGGGCTGGAGTTGTTCCTGCTTGCTCGGTGTAATACCGCCGCCTACATTTCCTCTACTCATCGCCTTCCATTTACTCCTCCTGCACTTGGGGCGGATGTGGGAAAGGACACGTTCCCGCCGTTCAGGAATGTTGTGGGGGGCACGCGCGCACACACACACGAGGATGCTCTGAGAGACCCTGGTGCTCAGGGAGCAAAGGAGCGAGGGGTGGGGAGGGTGGGAGTGGGGCGCTCAGGGAGAGGAAAGAGGCCCAGCCGGAAGTGGGAGACGAGAGGGTATGGGGGAGGAGAGCGGAGCCCACCACCCCCCGTGAGATGCCAGAGACCCGGGGATCGTGCCCCCAGCCTCCCGCCCAGTGCAGGGACACCGGCCTGCTCTCCCCAGCATCCCTGGCCGTCTCCCACCCGTGCCCGGGTCCAGGCAGCGTCTCGTGGACACGGACTGTTCTGCCATCGTGGGGCTGCAGCCCCGGCGCTAAAAGCGCATCTGCCTTTGGAGCCCACGTCTTGCTGTGGGTCTGGTTGTGTCCGCCAGCAGAAGCGTCGCCCTGCCGCCTTATAAGGACTGCCTGCCGAGCGGGCAGCAGAGGCCTCTGCCACTTCCCAGGTGGCCGGCCACGGAGTTGGGGTCGGAGGATCCCTGGAACGGCTGGCAGCTTTGGCCCGGGCAGAGGGCAGCAGAGCCGGGGCTGGCGGAGGGGGGAGCTGGGATCTGTGAGAAGAACCACGGGGTCCTGAGCAGGAAAGTGACTGCTCTGGGCAAAACCAGAATCAGATCAGGTCGGTGGGTTTGTGTCCTGACTGCAGTTCAGCGGCAGCAAGCCAATCATTTAACCGTGGGAGCCTCAGCCTCCACATCTGTAGCTGGCGATGGTGCCCTGACCTCGCGAGACGGGGGATGCGCGCGGGCCTGGTGCCTGCAGAGCGGCGCTCAGGCGGGGCGGCCGCGCGTCTGATGTGCCCTGTGCGGCTGGCGGCCGGGGGAGTCTGTAGGCACGTGTCTCCCCCAGCCCCCAGCGTGTCGTGTGGCCGTGTGGTTCAGAGCTGCTAGGATGGGGGGTGGGGTCTGTGAGCCCTGTCTTTGCTGTCATCCTGCCCCACGCCAACGTCTTCTCGAGTGAACCACTGAAGTAGTTTCCTAACTGCTCTGCTTTCCTTCTGGCGGCTCTGAAACTCAGTCTCCACGGTGAGCTTCACACAGCCGAAACCAGTGCCGTCCCCCCAGTGTGCCTCGAGCCCCCCATGGCATCCCGCAGCACTGGGGTATCTAGTATCAAGCTCCAGCCCCTTCCCCCGGGCTGGGGATGGGCCCGCCTCACCCCTCTGCTTCTCTAGGAAGGTGAAACCCTTTCCTATCTGGAAGCCATGCACATTCTGTTCTCTCTGCTTAGAATGGCTTCTTCCCGCTTTTCAGAGCCTCCCTGCCCCCTGCACCTCCGGCTCTGCTGCCTAAGAGGCTTCCCTGACACCCTGTGTCCAAGCTCTTCCTGGTTTTCTCTAATCTGCACCCTGTTCCTTTTGGTTTGGCCAGACTCCTTCTGACTTGTGATTGTACCTTTGAGTGTTTACCTGTTTATTTTCTGTCTCTTCCGTTAGCTTCACAGCCCACGAGGGCTGTGATTCTGTTTCCAGTGCCAGCGGAGTGTGTGGTAATACAAGGAAGAACTCTGAATAAAATAATGAGCCAGTAGGGGAGAAGGGCCCTGGTGCAGGGGGTCACGGAGAAGGCTGGGACCAGCTGCTCCCCGAATGAAATCAGCTGCTGTTCCTCATCTAAGACGATTTAGCGTAAAAGTAGTTTTTCATATGCGCAGGATCCAGCAGTTTTGAGAGGTTCAGATGTGGGTGGATTCCAGTTGTTTTGAACTCCGCCAGGAAGCCACCCCCTGGGATCCCTCTGTGTACAGAGGACTCCGTGTCTAATATTGCTTAGGGAAAAGTCACGTAAAAGAAGCAGCATAGGGACTTCCCCGGTGGTCCAGCGGTTAGGACTCCGCGCTCCCAATGCAGGGGGGCCCAGGTTCGATCCCTGGTCAGGGAACTAGATCCCACATGCCGCAACTAAAAGATGCTGCATGCCTCAGCGAAGATCCTGTGTGCTGCAACTAAGACCCGGCGAAGCCAAATAAATAGATAAGTAAATAAATATTAAAAAAAAAAAAAAGCAGCATAACGTGGTGTAAGGAACAGAGGCCTGAAAGTCCTGACTTATTGGTCTTTGGTTCTTGTATTGCCTTTGTTACTTAAAGACTTTGTATGTCTGGTTCCTCATTTGTAAAATAAGAGAAGTTGGACTAGAAAAGATGAAGGTCCCTTCCAGTTTGTACGAGCATGCTTTTGGCTGCAGGTAACAGTGACTTAAGCCATCAAGACCATCAGTTATCTCTTGAACTACAGTATGGAGCCATGGTGGTTCCAGGGTTGGTGTAGTGGTTCAAAGACACCATCAAGGACCTGGACTCTTTCCTCCCTTCTGCTTCGCCATTTGCTTTGTTTTCAGGCTCATGCCTCATGGTCACAAGATGGCTGCTGCAGCTCTAGGCATCACAGCCTCCCATAAGAGCATCAAAAGCAGAAAGGGATGAGATGGGGAGGAGCTCTCCTCGTGTGTCTCTCTCCTTTTATCAAGTAAAACTTTTCCTGGAAGTACCCTAGCAGACTTCCTTTAGTCACATTGGCCAGAACCACCTCCCGTATCCATCCCAGACCATGACTGACAAGAGAATGTGCTAACCCCAGATCTTACTCATCCCCCGGGGCTGGTCTGTGTTCAGCTGTACACAGCTCGGTGCAGCTGAGTCCCGTGAACAGTGGAGGAGTGGCTGCCTCGTGGGCCTGAAGTTCTGTGCCTCTTAAGTGCTTGGCCTTCAGGTGGCGGTGGCCTTGTTACCCTACAGGGGTAACATTGCATTCTTCACGTCTCTGGCAAGGCAATGGCCAGGAATAACATTTTTATAAGGAATGGCTTTACATTCCTGCGTGAGGAGGGAAGCAGAAAGGATTTGGAAATAGATGGATTTATTGGCCCAGAAAAGTTCAGCGAGCAGCTGCACCCAGCAGGTCCTCTGTAGTCAAGACCCCACAACTGAGCTGCCCTCGTAGGGAGCAGAGAAGATGAGGGATCACCGTCAACGTGAGGCAAGGCCTCAGTTAACTGCCCCCGCAAACTGGACCCGTTCTGCTGCCTGTCCGGCCCCAGCATCAGGCATTCCTAATAAGCAGAAGCCCGTTTTAAAGCTGTCTGGTAGCGAGCCAGGAATGTGTTTGTAATGGCCACCATCCTAAGAACCTCCTATGCGCCAGGCACTATGCTAGCTCCTGGGGACACCAAATCAAAGGGACAAGGTCCAAGTCCTTAAAAGGCTGAACACCTGCGAGAGATAAACAAGCTCTATGACAGGTGTGTGTGTGAGGCCAGAGAGTGGGAGAGGCCACCTTTGCCTGCGAAGGGAGCAGGAGAGGAGGTGACCTTTGAGACAGGAGAGCAGCCGGGCCAGGACGCAGCAGCTGGAACAGCAGGCAGGGGCACTTGGGGCTGCGGCCTGAGGGCTCCGTGGTCCGTGCTGAGAAGTGTGAGCTTAAGCCTGCAGGCGAAGGAGATCGGACGCTTCCCACAGACGAGTCTTAAGATAATGTGTATCCAGTTATTTCCCAGTTTTCTTCCCAGAGGTTAAGTAAAGATGTTATTTCATTTTTTTCAATACATTATGTTAAATACATATTATGGACCAGTTATGAATAGCAGAGCTTATACCTTTGCTATAAACCATATATGGGCTACCTTGTAGCAAAACGTCCAAAATGTGTATTATGATTTTTAGAGATTTTAAAGAAGATTTAATGGTCTAAAAATTACTAAAAAGGTTTGATATCTGCTAAGTTCTTTCGCAATTTTTATCAACTTCGCCGCTAGCCGAGACAGCCAGGGACGCTGCTAGAACTCTCGTTCTCCAGCACCTTACCGGGGAGTTCAGGGGGATGACTCTTCCTAGGGTGTTGGTGGGAGACTGACCAGAAGGCTTCTCGCCCAGAGTCACCAGGTGGGGCTGCCTGACTCCAGGGGCCTCCGGTCCTCACTTGCTGGGTGTTTGTTCTAGGGCATCTTATCAGTGAAGCCTCCCTGCCTGACCTCCTTAACACTAGTTCCTGCCACAGCTCACCTTCCTCACTCTGCTTTTTCTCTTTTCACACTACACGTCTCCTTCTAACATACTGTATAATTTACTAACCTATGCTTGTTGTTTATTATGATCTGTCTCCCCTGCTAGAACGTTAAGTCCCTGAGAAGCAGGGGTCTTGTAGGTTCCATTCCCTGGTGTATCTCGACCCCCTAGAGCTGTGTCTCATAGGAGACCTAGACCCAAGGTCAGTATCTGGGTGATTAGAAAGCAGCCTTTAAGAATTCTCCACTTTTTCTCCTCGACCATGATTTGTCACTAGACAGAGGTGAGTTATTAAGAATGAAAACCTTATTGAGCTTGTTAGAGCAAAGCTGTTTCTACCTGTTTGCGAGCTGTTAGTGTTGAGGGTAAAAGGCCACGGTGCCCCCTGAGGCTGAACGGTAGAGGCTGTTAGGGGTAAAGGAACAAAGAGCAGAGGTGGGGTCTTGGACTTCGGTGGCAGTGCTGTACGCTGGCGGTGACAGATGCTGTTCTTTTCAACAGGTATAGGAGTCTGGTCACTGGGGCCCGAGCAAGAGGGGTCATTGCTGTCCTCTGGGTCCTCGCCTTGGGCATCGGCCTGACCCCGTTCCTGGGGTGGAACAGTAAAGACCGTGCCGCCAACTGCACGGAGCCCTGGGACGGAACCACAAACGCAAGCTGCTGCCTTGTGAAGTGTCTTTTTGAGAACGTGGTCCCCATGAGCTACATGGTGTACTTCAATTTCTTTGGGTGCGTCCTGCCCCCGCTGCTCATAATGCTGGTCATCTACGTCAAGATCTTCCTGGTGGCCTGCAGGCAGCTCCGGCGCATGGAGCTCGTGGGCCACTCGAGGACTGTCCTCCAGCGGGAGGTCCACGCGGCCAAGTCCCTGGCCATGATTGTTGGGATCTTTGCTCTGTGCTGGCTGCCGGTACACGCCATCAACTGTGCCTCGCTCTTTCAGCCAGGCTGGGCCAAGGAGAAGCCCAAGTGGGCCATGAACACGGCCATCCTCCTGTCGCACGCCAACTCGGTCGTCAATCCCATTGTCTACGCCTACCGGAACCGAGACTTCCGCTACACTTTCCACAAAATCATCTCCAGGTATGTTCTCTGCCGGACAGACGTCCACAAGAGTGGGGATGGGCAGGCAGGGGCGCAGCCTGCTCTCCAGGTGGGCCTGTGACCGAGGCTCCTCTGGCCTGTTCGAGGAGAAGGCACAAGTTCAGTAACAAAGGGACAGGGCATGGCTGGCGGATTCTCACTGGAAGGACAGCTACACCTCACAGGCCAGCAGGTGGCCTCTTCGGAGCACTTCCCCGGAGGTACTACGTACCTGGTTAATATGCACACGTTACTCGTAGGTCCCGAGGGTCGGCAGATGTGTTTACGGTTCTCTGGCTGCTCTGGCTGATGATGCCGACGACTTGAATGGATTGTAAAAGAGAGTTTTGTTTTCCTAAGAGTCTACCTCTTTCGTGGTAGAAAATGACTGAAACTATTTTACTGTGAAACACTGTGAACTATTACAATACAAATACTTTTTAACTTAGCAGGCAATGGAAAAAGTTGGACATACTAAAAATATATACTTGTTCTGGGGAAGGTGACCAGGAAAATTAGAAGTATAATTCTTCAATCAAGACACTGCCATATTAGGGAGATGATAGTCTCATAAGTTCTTAAGTAGAATGTCATCAGATGACGGGTTTGATAACAGTCTTTTCCACGTACAGCAAACTACCCTAAAGGAAGAAACTGGAGAAGTGGGATCCCTCCGCCACCAGATTCTGTTTCCCCCTTCCAGAGCTAGATAGTGAATTTTACTTCTCTCCCAAGTTCAAGTTGGCCAAGTTGCTGGAATCCAAAGTGAAAATTTTACTAAGGAAAGTTAGAGAATTGTGTTTATGTATGAGGTGAAATAAAAATAAAACTTAAAAAAAAAATACAGTTTAGGGTGCTGCGCCGGCCTGCTCTGCAGAGCTCACCTACCTTCCATTCTTTATCCTGAAATAAGTTTACACCGAGCCCAAGTTTGCCAAGTAGCACAGTCTTGATAGGTTTTATTCGCCACACCTCGCCCTAAGAGAAGGCTCTGCCACCACAGAGCCCTGCGCCATCTGCGGCCTTCCCCACAGTCATTCGTTAGCACCTCATATTGCGGGGCACAGGGCTGGGGGCTGTCCGAGGCTGCAAAACCATCTATTTCACCTGTCTGGTCGCTGACTCGATTCCTTCCGCAGTAACCCTGCGCGCGTGTTGCAGGCTCACGAACCCCTAGAGAGACAGGGAGAGCCTGTCCCTCTAGGACCCTGTTCCAGCTGTGGACAGCCTTCCCCATGAAAAGTTCCTGTCCTGTGCCGAAATCTGTCTCGTGTTCCTTTTCATCCGCCATTGCTCCTTTGCTCTCTCTTGGGGTCCGGATGCGTCCCGTTGATCTCCCTCCCAGCATCCTCTTGGGAATCTCTCAGCCTTTTCTTCCTCAGACTGGAAATCCCCAGCAGCGTCTTCAGCTTCCTTCGTCTGGCTCGTTACACAGCTCAGAAGTGCACGCAGAGCAAACCGGCACTTCCTTGTCCTAGGTACTGACTACATGTCTCACGATACAGCCTATTTAATCAGCTGTTTTGGCCTCAACACCGCAGATTCTGCAGCTCACTGAAACCAGAACCCTGATGTCTTTTTGTCTTTGCTGCCATTTAGCCACATCTCCGCTCTAACCTTTTACTGCAGAAAAATTTTCTGGACCCAAGAAAAAGAACTGATGCTTATTTATCTATAAACTTCAGCTTGCTGTTTCACCTACCGTTCCAACCTCTTAGAAATGCCTAGTACTCTGGTCACTTAAGAATCTAATTATGACCATGACATGATGTTAGGCTTTGGAGTCTAAAACGCTTGATTCCATCTGGAAATTTTCTACCCAAGGGGCTTGGAGGCTGGTCCAGACTTTTCACGAGGGCTTCAAACCATACGCACATCCTGGGCCCAACCCACAGTGCCTCCTGCAGCCCACGGGGAAGGGACAGCGACAGGAAGTCTGGTTCACGTCTCGGCCGCGTGAATCACGCGTGGCCAGTCGCGTGCGTCCTGGACAGGACTCCTGTGTTGAAGGACAGTGTGATGCTCCATCTGCGCCATTTATGATGCTTCCTGTGTCTTTTCCATCAATAATACTTCAGTCAGTTGCTTGTCAGAGACGCTCAGCTGCTGACAGGTCCTCATAACCTGACTAAGATAAACTGCCAAGAGGTGCTTGCACTGGAAACAAAACACACAAACCAGTTAGAAACCGGAGGGGCCGGGCTAACCTAGACCTCTCACCACCATCACACGTAGCAGGAAAGGAGTGAGGCACAGACTGTGCGCCTCTAACTCACTGCCTGCAAGTGAAGACAAAGATGAGACCTCCTAGGAGGCAGTGGGGACGAAGGAGGTTTTCCTTTGCCTGTTGTTTGGGGCAACAGTTTAGATCCAGCTTGGTACAGGTAAAACCAAGGGAAAACTGAGACAGGCTCTTTATTTTAGTCCTAAATTATATTTCTTTCTTCCTCGCCTTCAGAAGGCTGTTAATAGCAATGGCTAACGTTCCTTGAGGTACTGTGCTAAGTGCTTCTGAGAATTATTTAATAATGAGATAATAAGATTATCTCATTTAAGCCCCCCAGCGGGACAGGTCTTATCCCCATCTTACACACATGCTCAGAGTCTACAGTGTAGTCCCTTCACCACTATTAGACTTCCGGGGCGCGGTGTCGGGGGCAGGGGCAGGGGTGGCAGGACCCTTACATGTCTCGGCCTGTAACACCTCTGGGGAGAGGACCTGTGCTGGACCTTGTATCACAGCACATACAGCTTAGGTTACTGGAGGGCCTGCTTGAACCCTGTCATTTTTCAGGTGAAATCAGCTGTGAAGGTGGCTTCTTGTACAATGGGACATTCAACCTGCCACCCAGTTCCCGAGGTGTGTAAAAGAAAGGGGAAGAACTCAGCGGGTGCTACAATATTCTTCCTTGGCAAGACTTAACAAATGGCTGGACAGTGCTTTCTCCTGTGGCATCAGGAGCTTTGTGAGTGTGTCTTGTTCCTGCTTGATGCCCTGACTCCGTGAAGTCAGCAGAGGCACCGATGTGCTCTCCTGCCCCCGGGAAGGTCGAGCATGGCCAGGTGCCAGGCTGTCTCACGGGGAGTGGGAAGAAACACCTCGAGGCTGGACGTGGAGCTGGGGGTATGCAAAGCTGCCAGCAGCGATTTAGTTCGTATTTCTATTGGGCCGACTGGTTCCCCAGTTGCCAGCTTTGGGGATTACCTGTTGCCCTCCGCACAGCTTCATCTGTGACCTTTTAAATTAAAATGGGAAATTGGTGTAGTTCTAAAAAGGACACTGCATTTTGGGAGGGTAAACCCAAAAGAGAGGACTAACTGAAGTCAAAGAGAAGAAACTACTGTCTGTTTCCACATGCAGTAAAGTCCCCACTTTGTGCAGCTCTTAAACGACGCGGCGAGGGCTCTCAATCTCTCCTAGCTCAGCCGCAGCTGGGGGGCCCTTCCCATCCTCACCAGGAGGCTGTCACCCTTCCGCAGCACTGAGAAGGCAAATGCCGGACACGAACAGTAATGACAAGAGGCCAAACACACGTATGTTCTACCGGAACTTCCAAGTACCTAGAAAGGAAAGGATAGATGGGATCAGACTTGGAAAGGTGTGCTGGAAGACCACTCCCTTCCCCCGGATTTATCTGCCTGACGACTCAGAGCTGCTCTGCGCTGGGAAGAACCGTAGGAACATCTTCCGCAGAAGTGGCAACTCGACTTCCCTGCCTACGGGACCTTCCTGCTGCCTTAGAGCTCTGCCCTTGAGGACTCCACAGGACAAAACAGAAGCGTTTCGGGTGGGTTAAACCATCCCTCTGGCTGGTGATTCAGAGGGCCCACTCCGTGGGCTGACTATAAAGAGGCAGAGGAGAAAGCCCCCTCATTTGCACTTCATCGTGGTGTTTCTCAACCTCTGGTATTTCACAGCATGTGTGTAAACGTCTAAAGCTTCCACCACACGTGTGAAGGGAGTCTGAAAACAGGTGAAGGCTTGGCGGTGAGGCAGAAAGACAGGTCTTCAGAAGAAAACGGGAAAGGGCTTCTGAAAAGCATCTGAGAACAGGAGGAATGTAGGAAGCAGAGAATCTTGTAACAGGATGATCGGGCGGCTGTCTCAGAGCGCGGTAAGCCCAGATCTGCCTGTTCCCCAGCAGGATGGAAGGAGCGCACAGATACGAGGGCTGGGAACACGCCAGTCCAAGAGCAGACGGCTGGCTGTCAGTCAAGTGGTGAGGAGAGGCCGTCCAGGGAAGTGACGCTGCATCTGGAGTGTGACTGGACAAACGGAGAAATCGCCTGTTTACGTCTCCACCACGAAGCGGCCAAAGACACAGCTGAGGGCTTCATTCCTACAGTTAAATCTGCAGGGCTTCCCTGGTGGCGCAGTGGTTAAGAGTCCGCCTGCCAATGCCCGGGACATGGGTTCGAGCCCTGGTCCGGGAAGATCCCACATGCCGCGGAGCAACTAAGCCCGTGCACCACAACTACTGAGCTTGCGCTCTAGAGCCCGCAAGCCACAACTACTGAGCCCACAAGCCACAACTACTGAGCCTGTGCTCTAGAGCCCGCGAGCCACAACTACTGAAGCCTGTGCGCCTAGAGCCCGTGCTCCGCAACAAGAGAAGCCACCGCCATGAGAAGCCCGCGCACCACAACCAAGAGTAGCCCCCGCTCACCGCAACTAGAGAAAGCCCACGCGCAGCAACAAAGACCCAACGCAGCCAAAAAGAAATAAATAAATTTAAAAAAAAAACACTCTGCAAACTGTTGGCAAAAGGAGCGCCCTGGGCACGCGGCGCCACCCCGAGGGCTCGCTCACGTGAACCGCAACTTAGGGATTGCCACAGGGCTCCCACGTTTTGCAGGCTCTGAGGTGGCCACCTACATGAAAAGGCCAGGACTTAAAAAGCACCAAATACCAGAGCTCCTCTTTCTCCTCACAAAGAATAAAGCAGCAGGAAAGGCTTCAACCGAGCAACAGCAGTGTTCAGGCACGAGCTGTGCCTGTTCGTCAAATGTCCTGGCATTCACGTGACGCGGCCATGTCGCTAAGGTTTCTTGACCAAGTCAGGAGAATTCCTTGGGGGCTGCAAGATTACCAGAAATGGCCCATGACTAGGTAAGAAGATGCCTACTGTTCCCATTAAAAATTTCAGCCCCAGTTACAAATCAGGTGTGAAGAAAATCACATGTTACAGATTTCCAGTCCTGGGGCGCTGACATGTTTTCGGTGGTGGACGCTGAGAATGATTGCAGGAATCTCCCCAGTGTCTGGAAAACACAGGCTGAAGGGAGAGCATTAAAGCAGACTGTTTCCCACTCAGTCCTGCACGAAAACCGGTCAACATCCAGCAGTGACACCAACAATTCTTGCGTCTCCAAACTGTCACCAATGAATAAAACACTTCGGATTTCTTCTTCTCTCTGGATTTACATTTAACTAGGCATAAGCCTCTGGAATTCTACACTGACAAGTTCCTTCTTATGGGGGGTCCCCAGCCCATCAGAATACTCTCTGGATGAAGCTGAGTGCCGGTAACTCAGGGACAGGGAGAGTTTCTACAAGAGGTTCCCTTGCTGATCCTTTCAAAGGCTGGCTAGGACTCAAAACGTTCAGCCGCCCGAGGCAGTGAATACTGTAAATGAACAGTCAATTCTGAATTTGCTTCGTCTTTATGGAGCAGTGGACAACTAACGAACCCAATAATCAGGCAGAGATCTGAGTTGGATACGTTTAGAACTAGAAATTGACCTCACGGACCATCTAATTCACTTCCTTCACCCTTCAATGGAAAACCCCCCTCCTCTCACGGGAAATACTCCCAGTTCAGCCACTCAGAGCCTGGAATGT